GTCCCTCAATCTTCCCTCATTATTAATGGAATTCTCTATGAAGAGGAGGTGACTCTTCTCACATATTAATATTATGTAGTCATGGGTATTTATTTTGTTCTATGTACTCTCCTCATTTATTTTTGTTGCTCAGATTGTTCCAGCTTTAATCATTAGGACTGCCTTCAGTTGGCTCCTATGTCCTTTGGATAAGCCCCATCCTTTCATGAGCACCTCTTTACTCTGACGTGACCAGGTATTTTAGGCTTAATTGTTTTTTTTTTTTTTTTTGCTGTAGGGTGCGTGCACTCGCCAGACAGAGAGAGAGAGACAGAAAGCGAGAAATCACCCCCCAGGGGGATGGCCACGCCACAATCCCTTCTCCTCCATTCTCTTCTTGGGATCTTGGGCACACACGCATGCACATGTGCCTGGCGTGAGTTTTAAGCCACCAGGTCCAGGACACGAACCGTAGTCGACTACATGGGAGTCCAGCAATATAGCCATTACGTTAACTGCTGGTCCCTTAGACTTAATTTTTACTTTCCTGGCTCCAACTCTGCAATCTACCTTTTCACCAAGAGCCCAGTTTCTTTTTTAAGAGAATAGCATTTGGAAATCAAGATCTGGGTGAGAGATGGGCTCTTTGGTATCAGGATATCTTTAGCTTGTAGGTTCTTTCAGCAGGTAGAACTGGGAAGTAGCGACCAGCAGATGGTGTAATGGCTATGTCATTGGACTCCCATGTAGTCAACCATGGTTTTATTCCCGGACCCTGTGGCTTAAACTCATGATGTACGTGCATGCCCAAGATCCTGAGAGGAAAATGGAGGAGAAGGGATTGCGGCATGGCCATCATCCCTGGGAGATGATTTCTCACTTTCTGTCTCTCTGTCTCTGTCTTTCTGGAGAGCACATGACTCTATAGCAAAAATCTCTTAAAAAAATAATATTTGGGAAGTATATGTATTTATACCTATGCATATGTATGTTATCTATACTTCTATATTATTCCTCTCTGTGTAATACACTTTATACTAATTTTCTCTGATTTCAATCTAACACATTTTTTAAAAAAGAATTATGTATTTAATTATTTGAATTTTTGACCAGAGAGAGAGAGAGAATGAGAAAGCAAGCTGCCACATTTGAGACTTGATCTGCGTCAGACATCCTGGAGCCCAGTGCCTTACCATTGCCACTTCCCAACCCCAATCTAACACATTTTTAGCCTCCTCTTAATATGTAACTTTTTATTCAAACAGTGAGAATCCTGGTTTTCATTATGACAATATATTTACTTAAAAGAAGTAAATAAGTTAGTAGTTCCAGAATTCCTAACTTACACTCCTGTGAGAAACATACTTACTATATTTACAACATTTTTATACAATTCTTTTTTTTTTTTTACATCAAAGTAGTTTTTTTTCATGAGAGTAAGAGAAAGAAAGACACCCCCTGGAGCCAGCTCTGTGGCCTGGTGGTTAAGGCAATGGGATCCCACATGGCTGATCCTGTGGTTTGAGTCCTGGACCCAGTAGCTTGAGAAATGTGCCAGGTGTGTGTGTGCAGGCCCCAAATCCAAAGAGAAGGGATTGTGGTGTGACCATTCCCCATGGTGGGGGGGAAGTGGGAATGCTTTCTTTTTTCCCTCTCTGGTGATTGTACATACCCTCTAGCAAAAAACCCCACAATTTAAGAAAAATGATTTATTTACCTATTTACTTGTTGTGATTCTCAAGCTGCCCAGTCTGAGACTCAGACCACAGTTGGCCTTTTGGGAATCTAGCGCCTCAGTTACCATACCACCTGCTAGTCCCAGTTTCTTTCTTTCTTTTTTTTTTTTTAAATTAAAAAAAGACAGGTGCCTTCAACAGGTTCTCACAGCACAGCACCCCCAGCCTTCCAAGCTAGCTATCAGTAGGATCACGATGTTCACCTGGCGTATGCAGCTCAGTGTGCAGGTCAACACAAACCCAGTGTTGCTTGAACGGTGCATTTCTCTGAGCGGCTGAGCGGCCCTGTACACAGTTTTTTCTGCCTATAGTTCTACAGCAGCCGGTCAAGCTACTTACTGTTTTCCAGTCACTTAGTTTAGTTCATACCCCCTCCCCACCGCCCCTTTCACTGCAGTGTCACTCGTTGGCAACAGTTAGGTTTATTTGTGAGTGTGGTATTCTATGTTGGGTTGCCACATGTCACTTGGTTTTAATGGTTTGTTTCCTTTGGATTATGTGAAGGGCATGTGACTATCACATGTCCCTAGGAGTCCAGTAGGACAACTTCTGCTCAGAGAGCCAGCCTCCTCAGCCCTGCCCTCCAGTTCCTACTTCCCCTTTTCCCACCCACCCCTACAGGTAACAGTGCTTCAATTTCTGGTTTATTCTTCCTGTGTGTTTTTTGTTTTGTGCCACTTTAAACTCATCAGTTTTATATTAAAGATTGTCCTCCATGGCAGAAGAGACATATTTATTCCCACTTTATCTTTGTCAGCTACACCTTATCCAAGAGAAAGAGGGTACCATTGCTGGAAGGTGGGAACTTCGTGTGTTTATGACTGTAATCTTTTTATACTTTAACAACTTGGGTATAATTGGTAACATTTACAGTTTATTTAACATCTAATAAAGCAGAAAAGAGATAGGAAATAATATACTTCTATTTGTTTGTTTGTTTGTTTGCTATAGGGTACATGGACTTAGAAAGAGAGAGAGAGAGAGAGAGAGAGTGAGAAATCACCCCCCAGGGAGGATGGCCACACCACAATCCCTTCACCTCCGTTCTCTTCTTGGGATTTTCAGAATTCATGAATACATGTCCAATGTTCTGTTCTGTTCTGTTCTTTTCTTTTTTCTTTCTTTCTTTCTTTCTTTCTTTCTTTCTTTCTTTCTTTCTTTCTTTCTTTCTTTCTTTCTTTAAGTATTTTATTTAACTTTATTCATTTATTTATTTTAATTTGATCAGAGAGGGACAGAGTGAGAGAGAGAGAAAGTGAGAAAGCAAGCTGCCAGGTCCAGGACTTGAACTGCAGTTGGCCATTTGGGAGTCTAGCGCCCTTAACCATCACGCCACCTGCCAGCCCCCCAATGTGATTTTTAACCCTTTGGGTCCAGGACTTGAACCTTGAAGTCAGCCATGTGGGATCCAGCCACCTTAACCTCCAAGCCACCTTTTGACACTAAGAATGCACTTTTTTATACACTCTTTTTTTTTTTTTTTAAAGAATTATTCTATTTAACTTTATTTATTTTTAATTTGATGGGAGGTGGGAGGAGTGTGCCAGCCACCAGCTCCAGGACTTGAACCGTGGTCAGCCATGTGGGAGTCCAATATCCTTAAACACCACACCACTTTCTACATTGTATTATTCATCCTCCTGTAACACTTAATATTTTTATAATCACCCAAATATTATATTATCATATAATTCATGAAGGGAAATGAAAATGGCATACATAAAGATCAAGTATTCTTTGGTTTCTCTTCCCCAACACCAAACGGCTGCTACTATCCTTTCAGATTCCTTTTTTTTTTTTTTTTTGAGAGGGAGAGCTTTTTGTTATAGGGCATGTGCGCTTGCCAGAAAGACAGAGAGAGACAGTGAGAAATCCCCCCCCAGGGGGGGATGGCCACACCACAATCCCTTCTCCATTCTCCTCTCAGGATCTTGGGCACGCACGCACATGCGCCCAGTGTAAGTTTAAGCCACCGGGTCTGGGACTCGAACTGTGGTTAACTACATGGGAGTCCAGCGACATAGCCACTACACCAACTGCTGGTCCCAGATTCTTTACACTTTTCTAAACTTATGTGCGGGGTGGAAGTGTGGGCATGGGAGGGCATATTTTTGTGAGTGTATGGTTCTTTTTTTCCCCTTAAACACAAAGGATACACTTCATCTTCTTTGGCTTGCTTTTATCACCCACATGTCTTGGAGGTCTATTTGTGCTGTATTGATATCCCTGCCTCATTGGATGTGACATCTACAGAGTATTTCTTGGTGAATATCCTTGCACGTGACTTGGAAGTGGAGGTGCTGGCAGGGTCCAGCCCTCATGTAACCCCAGCAAGACCACTCTCCCAAGTGGCTGTGTGCCTACCTTCTCTACCAGCGTTGTATCAGAATGCTCTTTTCTCTACTGGTCATCGCCGCTTCTTATTTCCTGTTTTTTCACCGTCCACCCACTCTCTTTGTGCCTCTGTCTAAGCTTGAGCTTAGGGCAGTTTGAGGGTCAGAGTGGTTCTTTGTCTTAATTTGCCTTCCTCTGAGGTAGTTGAGTTGACGTTGAGCGTATTTCTACATGTCGGCCATGTACATCCCTTCCTGTGCTTTGCCCATTTCGAACTGGCTTCTTTTTCTTACTGATTTATGTGAGTTCTTTGTATATGCTAGGCTCGTTCATTCAACAAATACTTACTGATCCTTCTTATTATATGCCCCAGGCATTGCTGTAGGTGCTGGGGTACCAGCAGTAAAGGTCTCTAATTACGTGAGCTTACATTCTGAAGAGGAAGTTGGATCAAGAAACTCTTAACTACATGAATAAGATTATGTAGACTTTTTAAAGTGGAATACATAAAATAGGGTCCTGGTGGGGAGCCCCAGGTCCCCTTTCAGACCCTGTTCCCTGAGTATTTGCTGTTAGGTGGTGTCAGAGAAGATGTGAGCTGAGAAGAGTGATAAGAAGCCAGCCTTAGGAAGTGTCCAGAAACAGCACGTGCCTCGGCTCTGAGGTGGGCCTTATGAGCCAGGGAGACAGGGTTTCCAGGGGACAGGTCATGTCCTCACAGAGGGACATATGGGCTCCTCAGCACAGGTGTTTGTCAGAGAGGTTCCTATCAGAGTAGACTTGGTGGTTTGAAGGGCTGAGGTCTGTTTCAGGAGGAGGGTTCCTTCCCTATCTAGGTCACCAGAAGGAGCTTGGCTGAGGGGATTTGTGCACTGAGACTTGATCACTGGGTTTTGTGGTTGTTTTAAGGCATAGGCCTTTTCTTTAATAAAGGAAAATTTTCTGTTTCAGATTACCTAGGAACAGTACGATTTGGGGTTATCACAAATAAACATCTTGCGAAACTGGTATCCTTAGTACACTCTGGAAGTGTGTATTTACATAGACATTTCAACACATCTCTTGTAAGTATTTTGAAATCACATTTATATTAGTGCAGTGGTTCTTTACCTTGTCTAGGTCATAGACTCCTTTTGAGAATTGGGTCAAATCTGTGGATACTGTCCCTAGGAAGGCACACAGGATTTTATGTGCAGATCAAGCGTTCCTCAGCCCTAGAGTCCATGTCCCAGCCTGAGAACCCATGCATTAGAAGGCTCTGAGTTAACATCTAGTCTCCTTGGTGAATATGTTTAGATTTTGGTATGGCTTTGTTAGTTTTCCTTCTTGGGTGAACTTGCAGTTACTCTGTTGGAGAATCACTGCTCTGGGCCCCTGTTCTCGGAGGCTGGTGTCCGTGGGTGAAGAGATGCTCCTTGGTTCCTTCCATGAAGGGTGGTAACGTGCCATGCTTTTCTCCCAGCTGATGGAATGGGTTTTTGGAGTTCTTGTCAAGTCACAGTGAGCAGTTGATGGCTTCTCTCCCAGAGAACCTCGGTTTTCCATTGTTGCCTTTGTTCCCTGGTTTCATTTGCTTTTTGATGGAGCACCTGCACCTCCGCTCTTTGTGAGCGTTGACCTGTGCCCTGCTTAATCCTGTGCTTCTGCTCTGGTCACTGCTCCTTCCTCAGCCCCATCATGGAGTGTTTATTTTCTTAAGTGTTTTCTGTCTCTCTAACATCGACTGTCAGTGATGTGCAGGATCGACAGCTCTGTGCCCAGCGTACCTGGCCTTTTTACACTCGCACTCCCCCTTGGTGCCACCTGTAAGTCTGTGCCTTCTGAGTTACTGTCTGGCCCTCTCCAGGGGGTGCCCCCTCCCTTGCCAGTCACCCTAGCTTCTGTATATTTCTAGCCCAGAGGTGTGCTTTGCTTCTTGTAGTTTTATAGTCCTGAAGTCAGAGATAGTTTTTGTTTTCCAAATAGAAACGTTTATTTCAATGTTTGAGTATGTTTTTCAGATTTCCATCAACTCACTTTGAGAATTACTGCTGCGACTGTTCTCAACCATCCACCCACTCCCTTTGTGCCTCTGTCTAAGCTTCTTTCTACTTCATCTGCTTTTGCTATCATTTCCTATGCCCTTCTTTTCAGCGTGATATACAGTCTACGTAGATCATATTTATAACGAAGGGTCCTAAGGAGGAAATTTAACACAGATGGAGAAAAACAGTCAAGACTGTGTAGCGACACTGAAACACGTATTGGGGCTTCTGCTTCCACTGGTTAGCTTTTAAGGCTGACCAGTTGGTTTAGTAGTAGAACTCTTTACTAGATGAAATAGTATGGGATGCCAGTATTTAAAAAAAAATAGAAGTAGTGAACATATTTGTTGTGAGGTCATTTAAATCTCCATGTTAGGGCTATCTAAGGTCTCATTTTGTGAACCCTTTAGCAGTTCTCCTTGCAACCGGTGTTGCATATCATTGGAATTTCAAAAATAATTTTATGTTCACGTACAAAACAAAGAAAGCTAAGTGTCTCTTTCCTTCATCTGTCCATACAAGGTGTGATCTATGGCCCTGTACAAGTCTAGGTCTCTCACTGGCTTGCTCAAATGTCCTGTCTCTGTGCCAGGTGTTCATCTAGTCACAGGGATGCAGGTGAGCAAAACAGACATGCCCCTGCCTTGTGGAGGTTCTGTTCCTACCCATGTGGGGCAGCATTTGACCCATAAAATGGGGTCCTGGTGGGGAGGGAGCCCCATGTCCCCTTGCAGACTCCATTCCTTGAGTATTTGCTCTTAGGTGGGGTGGTCAGGGGACCTTCTCAGAGAAGTTTTTACCTAGGTAAAAAGTCAGAATAACCCTAGACTCTGGTTTCTGTTCCCCCAGGTATACCTTGGTCATTTCGAAAACATGCAGTAACATTTTATTGCTCTCCTAGGGACAAGGTGTTAGAGGGAGTTACCACCACGATAGGTGGGGGAGTTATTTTTTGATAGGCAAGTCTGTCTAAGAGGAAAAAAGATGAATCACATGCTCTGGAGGTCACCTCCTATAACCCCTTTTGCAGAGGAAACACTCCATCTGCAGCAGTGGCCCGGGTGTTAGCTGTGCAGCAGCAGGGCCCGTGGCCACCTGAGTCTCATTCTCCTCCCTGTGCAGCGGTGGGGCTGATCGGGCCTCCTGAGGGCAGAGCTGTTGTGCTTGGTCCTGCCCTTCTTTGCTCAGCTTTGTCCTCTGCATTTGTCCTTCACAGGTCTTCCCCCGGGAGGTTGTGAACTACACAGCTGAGAACGTCTACCAGTGGGCCTTAGAAAACCGGGAGACAAACGGGGAGACATTCTTTCGATGGCTGCGGCCACATGGAGGCAAGAGTCTCTTGCTGCATAACGAGCTGAAGAAAGGACCAGCGCTTTTTTTGTTTATACCTTTCAATCCCTTAGCCGAAAGTCATCCTTTAATAGATGAGGTAAGAGAGGCCAGCAGGTGTCATGTTTAGAGTGCTGGACTCTGACATAGCTGATCGCAGTTGGAGTCCGGGACCTGGTGGCTTGAAAATCACGCCAGGCACATGTGCGTACCTGCCGCAAATCCCTGGAGGAGAATAGAGGAGAAAGAATTGCTGCCTGGCCATCCCCCAGGAGGTGGCTTCTCAGTCTCTCTCTCTCTGGCAAGTGCTTGCATCCTATAGCAAACACCTTGGGGAAAAAAAATGATAAGAGCCATAACATACGTTAAAGGTGCCTTATGAGGAAGAGGACCTCAGTCACATGGCCTTCCTTCCGTCCACACTGAGTCCTTCATGCCAACAGCTGTGCTTCTGTGGAGCATCTCCTTTAACTAGGCAGGAGAGCCCAGCCCACAACAGAGCCGGCCACGGCCTCTCTGCCACATTTTCTGACAGCTGCTCGGGTCTTGGGTGAGTAGGAGGAAGAAGGGAAACAGAGCCGTGCCTCTCTGGAGAAGGACCAGATGACCCTCTTCCTGAGACGACTGCTGTCGGAGTGGACAGGAGAAACACGGTCAGGCCTGGCAGATGCCATTATCCTGAGGGGTTTGGTCATACTCGGGCAGCAGAAATGAGACACGCAGCCAAGCAGCCACGACACGGAGACCAGTTGTGTTCCACACCTTTCCTGGCATGCGCGAGCTAGAGTGGTTTCCAGAGATACCAGCGTCAGCAGTGGCTCTGCCTCCCGCTCTCACTGCCTCACCTGGTGCACACAGCTCTGGGTGTGAGTTTATTTTATACATGAGTCACTGAGAGGCACCTAGAGTAATAACAATTAGCAGAGAGCCTGGGAGTGCTAAATTGGATTTACTGAGGTTTTTTTTTTTTCCCCTCAAGGGTCCCTTAATTGGCTCAAACCAATTTCATATAGCCTGTGTACCATTGGCCGGAATAAACAGACATGTGGGCCTCCCTGGGCCCCTCGGTGCTAGTGTGGCCATCTGCCCAGAGGGTCAGGGCGACAGCAACTCCATCCCATGCCAGATCCCTCACTGCTACTCTGAGGGCTTTTGTTAAAGTTATAATCTTTACCAGCGAGCATTCGGAACTAACTCTGCTGGAAAGGAGAAAATCATTCTTTCTCCTCTGAGTAGAAAAGGCTGAAAGTAATAAAACTTAATTTCATTAGAAAATCTTCACTACCTGGATATTTTATGATTTTCTCTTTCAAATGACTAGGACTTTACCATATCCAATCTTAAGAGCTTAGAGCTTTGTAGGAAAGGTAAGGTTTTTAACCAAGGTGGTGGCTATGGTTATGAATTTGTACTTCAACTTTTAAAGTTTCTTTCTGGAGAGTTCTCTTGTTTGGGCATGCCAGGGTCCTGGGCAGGGGGTATTTTGTGGCAAAAAGGGCTAATGGGAGAAGATCTTGAAAAAATTTATGGAAGGGAGGGCCTTGGTGGCTTCTCTGAGAATTTTAGGAGTAACCATCAAAGACTCAGTGATGAAGGAGATGTGACCAGAGCTGTGTGTTGCCCCCAGGAAGGTTTTCCTAGCAGTAGGGTTTCAGAAAAGTGAAGAGTAAGAACCTGAACTTGGGCAGTAGTGGTAGAATCTGTGATCAGGAAAGTAGTGACCCTGACCAGAGATAAAGAAGTTACTGGGCATTTGGGATGATCATCACAACCACACAAGATGAGTTGCAACCCATTATATAGGAAGCCACAGAAGTACTTAAGGAAGATTTTTCCATCACCACCCTAGGCCTGTTGTGGGGCAGAAAACTGAGGAAGCTTACTTTGTTGGGAGGTCGTTTGAGAGTGAGCGTAACAGAGTTGGGGCATGTCAAACAAGGATGGCTGGGAGAGTTGTAGGGGTGGGTGGGGGCAGTCTAGGGTTTCAGGAGTGACCATTGGGTGGCCACACCTAACCTAGGACTGGGAACTGCTCTTATACATATGTGAACCTGGGCACACGTTCCTCTATACTCATGCATCCACAGCCACACACAGAAAAGACAGTTCCTGACCCCAGCATAAGGCAGCCCACACCCTGGTGTCTCTAGAGAGCTCTAGAGAGGTTATAAGATACCACAATGTGAATTATGCAACTTGTTAATCAAAGGAAATGCTTATCTCAGCCAACTGAGTCTCTGTTACTTGTTTTCTACTTTTTTTTTGGAGAGGTTTTTGCTATAGGGCGCGTGTGCTCGCCAAACAGACAGAGAGAGACAGAGAGACAGAAAGCGAGAAATCACCCCCCAGGGGGATGGCCACGCGGCAATCCCTTCTCCTCCGTTCTCCTCTTGGGATCTTGGGCACGCACGCACACGCACCCTGCGTGAGTTTTAAGCCACCGGGTCCAGGATGCGAACCACAGTCGACTACATGGGAGTCCAGCGACATAGCCATTACGCCAACTGCTGGTCCCTGTTTTGTGCTTTAAAAGCATTTCTTTGAGGCATTTACAGCCTATGGGTCCATAAAGAAAAACATGTTACTGTGTTCAGACTTTCAAACTTCTCTGATTAAAGACAATACAAGGAAACATCTTTAGTGCAAGCATTTTATTTTATTTTTTAAAATTTGCTGCAAGGCACATGTGCTTCCGGTGGGCAGAAGGTGGGGTGAGGGAGAGAAAGAGCAAGAGAAAGTGAGAAAATATCCCCATGGGGACAGCCATGCTGCAGTCTGTTTTCTGTCTGTTCTTGAGATTTTGGACATGCACACACATGCATCCATGGTGTTTTCCAGGCTGCCGGGTCTGGGACTTGAACCAAGTAGTCAGCCATGTGGGATTCAGCTGCCTTAACCACCACTCCACGAGCTGGTCCTATTTCAAACATTTAAAGTTATTTGCCAAGTTTTCCTTAATAGTTAACTTGAAATTCAGTAAGACAGCAAGTGATACACATCATGTGATGTAACTTGAGATGTGTTTTTGAAACCTGCCTACTGTGTAAAAGGAACAGAAACATAAAAGCCAGTTCCTTTTATGGGACAAAATAACAATACCCTACTCTTCAGAAACATTCCTGGATACAAAATGTTTTTCACTTAATAATATTCTTTACATGGTGCTTTGTGAAAGCTATTAACAATGTAAGAGCTAAAGAAAGATATTTTTTAGAAATTTTCTCCTTAATATAATTAATTCACTTCCACTTGGACATTTTGCAAAAGATTACAGTGAGTCATGAAGTTTTACACGGTTTTTAGTGGTGGGAGAGAGTTAGTATCTCAGGCCAGGCCTCTGGGAGGCTGTGGTGGTATGAACGGAAGGGAATAGGCAGTTTGACAAGGGGCCAGATTGTGAGTAGGTCAGGAGTCACCAAAAGTCATTTGACCGAGGGAACCAGCAGTTAGCATAATGGCTATGGTGCTAGACTCCCACGTAGTCGACTGCGGTTCGCGTCCTGGACCCGGTAGCTTAAAACTCACGCCGGGTGCATGTGCGTGCGTGCCCAAGATCCTGAGAGGAGAATGGAGGAGAAGGGATTGCGGCGTGGCCATCCCCCCTGGGGGGTGATTTCTCGCTTTCTATCTCTCTGTCTCTTTCTGTCTGTTTGGCGAGTGCACACTCCCTATAGTAAACACCTCTCCAAAAAAAAAAAAAGTCATTTGACCGAGCAGTGTAATGCTTAGGGTTGTATTTATTGTTATTTTTTAGAGAGATTTTTGCAATAGGGTGTATGCATTTGCTGGAGAGACAGAAAGTGAGAAATGACCCCCCTGGGGGTAGCCATGCCACAATCCCTTCTTTAAAGTAAGTGATGGCAGTGTGGAGGGTCACCGAGGACAATGAGTGAATGGTGGTGGTCATGGCATGGAGGCCTGATGGGGATGGGAAGGAGGGGCCTGCTTAGACACGCTGAGGTCAGAGCTGCTGGATTTGCGGCTGCTGAGCTGAAACTGAGCATCAGCTGAGTGGCTTGCTTGAGAATGCTGCTTCCCAGAGAGGAGGGTAGGAGGAAGGAGTTGAGGGGGGAAGGTAAAATGGGTGAAAATGGGTGGGAGTGTTGGGCCAGCCCGTGGATTGGTGGGTAAGGCGGCTGGATCCCACATGGACAACTGTGTGGTTGAGTCCTAGACCCAATGGCTTGAGAAATATGCCAGGCATATTTGCATGACTGCCCACAATCCTAAAAGGAGGGAGAGAGGGAGAAGGGACTGTGGGGTGACCATTCCCCATGGAGGGTGCTTTCTCACTTCCCTTCTCTCTCTCTCTCTCGTGAGTGCATATGCTCTCTGGTAAATTAAAATAAATAAATAAAAAGGATGGGCATGTGATATGCCTTGAAACAGGTCGAATTGGTGACCTCCTTTTTTTTTTTTTTTTTTTTTTAAAGGTTTTTGCCATAGGGGGACTTGTTTTGCCCTTGCCAGAGACAAACAGTGACAGAGAAAGTGAGAAATCACCCCCTAGTGGGGAGGGCCATGCTACAATCCTTTCTTCTCCCAGGATTTTGGGCACAGATGCACATGCGCCTAGTGTGATTTTCAAGCCTCCAGGTCCAGGAATTGAACCTCAGTTGGCCACATATGGGAGTCCAGTGCCTTAACCACCATAACACATGCTGGTCCCAGTAGCCTCTTTTGCATGTGTTTATTTGGAAATGTATATGCTCTGGAAGAGTCTTATCCACTCATTAGGTGTTTTGGAAGCTTTTAGACTTATTAGTGAAGTTGAAGAGAGAACTGAGGGTGGAGGAGTTTGAGAGGCAGAAAGGAAAATACATTCAGTGGGAAATGGAGAGATTAAAATTCTGCTCCTGGGAACCAGCAGATGGCTAATGCCTACAGCGCTGGACTCCCACACAGTCGACTGCAGTTCGAGTCCCAGACCTGATGGCTTAAACTCACTCCAGGCGCGTGTGTGTGCGCGCCCAAGATCCCGAGAGGAGAATGGAGGAGAAGGGATTGTATTTAGCATGGCCATCCCCCCTGGGGGGTGATTTCTCGCTTTCTGTCTCTCTGTCTCTGTCTTTCTGGAGAGTGCACGCAAAACCTCTCAAAAAAAAAAAAAATAATAATTGTGCCCTTGGTGCTTTGAACACCTATTGTTTGTCATTGGTTAAGCCTCTTCAGCTCTCCAGGCTTACTTCTTGTACTGTGGCCTAAGATGTCTCTAAGACCCCTTGCTTCTCCAATAGAGTGGTTCATTGTTGAGAAGTCATTTCAGTGTTTACAGTAATAGGTTGTGTGCGCCGCTTCCTTTGAGGCTGTCTTCCTGGCCTGTCTGTCACCTGTGACTCAGACTAGACCACAGGGCTTCTCCCTCAGTCATCCTCATGCTGTTCACCCACCCTGCCCTGTCTTTCAGATCACCGAAGTGGCCTTGGAGTACAACAACTGCCACAGGGACCAGGTGGTGGAGCGCCTCCTGCAGCACCTGCGGCGCGTGGACGTCCCAGTGCTGGAGTCCCTGGCCTCGGCACCACCGGCCCCGCTGCCAGAGCTGCCGCTGATTGCGGCTTCCCCCTGTTGTAACACCGTGGTGCTGCCCCAGTGGCACACCCTCTCTGGGACCCACAACGTCTGCGAACTGTGTGTCAACCAGACCGCCGTGGGCCTCCGGCCGAGCTCGATCGGCATGCCTCAGTGCAGCTTCTTTGAGATGGCAGCAGCTCTGGATTCTTTCTACCTCAAGGAGCAGACCTTTTATCATGTGGCATCAGACAGCATCGAGTGCAGCAATTTTCTAACTTCCTACAGCCCTTTCAGCTATTACACTGCATGTTGCAGGACCGTAAACAGGGGCGTGGCGGGCTTCATGAATTCTGAACAGGATGCCCCAACCGTTGCGTTTTCTTCCCTGGAGAAGAAGTGTGAGGTCGATGCCCCCAGTGCCATTCCTCACATTGAGGAGAACAGGTATCTCTTTCCTGAAGTGGACATGACTAGCACGAACTTCACAGGCCTGAGCTGCAGAACCAATAAGACCCTGAACATCTACCTTTTGGATTCAAATTTATTTTGGTTGTATGCAGAAAGACTGGGTGCTCCGAGCTCCACTGGTGTAAAAGAATTTGCTGCAATTGTTGATGTGAAAGAAGAGTCTCACTATATCTTGGATCCAAAACAAGCTCTTGTGAAGTTCACCCTAGGTACTGTAAGCAGTTTACCTCCACCGAGCATGTTAAGTTTACCTAAACTTTGGTAGCTTTTATTGAGATTCCCTCCTTTTTTTTTTTTTTTTTAAGGTTTTTGCCATAGGGTGAGTGGGCTCATTGGAAAGAGACAGAGACAGAGGAAAAGTGAGAAGTCACCCCTGAGGGAATGGCCACACCAAAATCCCTTTTCCATTCTCTTCCTGGGATTTTGCAGGCATACACACATGCCCAGCGTGAGTTTCAAGCCATCAGATCTGGAACTTGAACTGCGGTCGGCCTCTTGGGAGGCCTGCGTCTTAATCATTATACCATCTGCTAGCCCCAATCAAGAATCTCTTTGGTCAGGTGGTGAATGTGATAATTGTGTTGTCAGTGTAGTGCTCTGGAGTTCACTTAAAATCTTTGGATACTGGGGCCGGCAGGCGGTGTGATGCTTAAAGGTGCTGGACTCCCACATGGCTGACTGCGGTTTGAGTCCCAGACCTGGACTTTCTCACTTTCTCTCTCTCTCTCACTTTCTGGTCAAAATAAATAGTTAAAGTTAAATAAAATAATTTTTAAAAACGAAAGAAAGAAAAGAGACACTCTAAAAAAAAATCTTTAGATACTGGGGCCCATAGGTACCGTGGTAGTTAAGGGTGCTAGACTTGCATATGGCCGACTGTGGTTAGAGTCTTAGACCTGGCAGTTTGCTTCTCTCTTTCGTTTTCTCTTTCTCTCTCATCAAATTTAAATAAATAAATAAGGTGAAATAAAATAATTCTTAAAAAAATTTTTTTAGATACAATTGGTCATAATTTTGAAGAAGCCGATTTTGTCTATTAAGTAGAACATAAACTTTCTAATTCCAAATTTTGATAAGTTTGTCATTCAGCCCTGGAGGTTGAGAGTTGCCAGTTTTCTAGATTGGCAGTTCTGGTTACAGTTCCTGGTCGAGACAACTGCAGTGGTGGGGACCTGGCCATTGTAATTGACAAAGAAGTGGAAAGCCCAGGGCGTTCTGGTGGGACATCGGGACCCGATAAATGTGGGCCATAAAGGCAGCTTCATCTAAAGGACCTTAAACTGAGAGCAGTGAAAACATAGAACTGCCTTACCTCCATTCTGCCTGGCAGGTTTAAATGTATGCGTGTCAAGGCCACCAGACCTCATTTGTTCTGCTGTTCTTTTTATAAGGGGTTGAGGGATGCTTGGTGCCTGGATTATAAGAAGCAAGCGTCTGGGACCAGCTGTTAGCTTAATGGCTATGTTGCTGGACTCCCACGTAATCGACCGCGGTTCTAGTCCTGAACCAGGTGGCTTAAACTCATGCCAGGCACTTGTGCGTGCGTGCCCAAGATCCCGAGAGGAGAATGGAGGAGAAGAGATTGCAGCATGGCCATCCCCCCCTGGGGGGGTGATTTCTCGCTTTCTTTCTCTTTGTCTCTCTCTGTCTGTCTGGCGAGCGCACACGCCCTATAGCAAAATTCTCTCAAAAAACAAACAAAAAAAAAGAAGCAAGTGTCCAGTGCAATAAGCAAGCCTTAGATTGCAAACTAGCACAAAGCTCTTTGGGTGTGGGGGAGGGCTACAGTGTGGGAAAGCATCATCCAGGGCCTACCCTGGAGCGTGGAGCACAACCTGCCCCCACTATCCTGCTCCCAAGATGGCTGAGGTCCTGACCACCCCAAGGGAGGGAGAATGCAGAGGCCTCGGGATACCAGGGGAGAGGTAGCGTCTACCACAGGTAGGTGGGAAGGGAAGCTGCTTACCAAGTTTTAGAGAGCGAGAGTGAACTGAGCCCCAGGCGCTATTGCTTTTAGCCTTCTGTTAAGTTAGGTGAGGCTTGCTAGTCAAGCACGCTTGTGAAAAGGCTTATGTGGACATTGATTTTTCTACATCAAATTATATGTTATCTACATGAAGCATTTCCATGTTTAAAGGAACCCTGTGGCCAGCTACTTTATGAAAGGTATAATCTATTAATATTACAGATTACTCCTGATTCATGTTTTCTAAAATTATTTTGCCGTGTTAGGTTTCTTAAAAGGAAACAAGCTATATTTTTTAAGTGCTTATTGTATTTTTCTGAATTCTGGTCAGTAATAGTCAAGTGTTTAATGAGATCATAGTGTACTTTGAATTTAAATGCACCGGGACTAGCAGTTGGTGTAATGGCTATGTCCCTGGACTCCCATGTAGTCAACCGTGGTTTGATTCCCGGACCCGGTGGCTTAAATTCACGCTGGGTGTGTGAGTGTGCGTGCCCAAGATCCCGAGAGGAGAATGGAGGAGAAGGGATTGTGGCATGGCCATCCCCCGGGGGGTGATTTCTCACTTTCTGTCTCTCGCTGTCTCTTTTTGGTGTGCGCATGTGCCCCATAGCAAAATAATAATAATAATAATAATAATAATAATAATAATAAAGATTTAAATGTATCCTGAAAGAAGTCCTCTGGGACTGGCAGGTGGAGTGTTGGTTAAGGCACTGGACTTGCATATAGCTGACCATGGTTTGAGCCCCAGACCCAGTGACTTGAAAATCATGCTGGGTGCATATGTGTGCATGCCCAAAATCCTGAGAGGAGAATGGAGGAGAAGAAATTGTGGCTTGAAACTCCCTCTAGGGGGTGTTTCACTTTCCCTCTCTTTGTGTGTCTCTGTCTCTCTGGTGAGTGCACTCGCCCTATGACAAAAATCAAGTAAAAAGCCTTTTTCCTTTTTCTTTCTTTTATTGCTATCCTGAAATGCCTGGCTCAACTGTTTTTGTCCTATAGTTGGTGACAGAATATTTAGGAGGTCCTTGTTTAAAAAAAAAAAAATCTGAGTGTCATTGTTGATTTAGAAAGTTTAACTTATAAGTCAGCTGTCCCTAGGCAGTTTCAGAATTTAGGCTTCATTCAGATTAGGAAATAATTCTTGGTCTTATGTTTCAAAAACATAGCCAACCAAGTGTTACTTAGATGCTGATAATGAACTCTCTTTAGTATTCGGTGACATTCTTCACTTCCTCCTCCTCTGTAGGACATTTCATTGTCCTTTAGGACCTCAAAATAGAGGGAGTTAGTAGAAAAAAAAAAAAGAAGTGAAACTTGCTTCAGATGAGACAAAGGACTCTAAAGGTGGTGGAATTTGGGGGTGGTGGTGTGCACAACTGTTGGTCCAAATTACTTTATTTATTTATTTTTCTACAGCACACAGTTGAGTTCTTCTTCATTTTTAAGAATTATTTTTATTTAACTTTATTTGTTTATTTATTTTAATTTGACCAGAGAGGGACAAAGTAAGAGACAGAGACAGAGAGAAAGAAACAGAGAGGGAAAGTGAGAAAGCAAGCCTCCAGGTTCGGGACTCAAACCGTGGTCGGCCATGTGGGAGTCCAGCACCCTTAATCACTATGCCACTTTTCGGCCCCGAGTTTTTTCTTTTTTATAAAAAAGAGTTTTATTAAATTAATTAATTAATTAATTTTTGGAGATATTTTGCTATAGGGTGCCTGTGCCCATCAGAAAGACAGAGAGACAGAAAGTGAGAAATCACCCCCCAGGTAGGATGGCCACGCCACAATCCCTTCTCTTCCACTCTCCTCTAGGGATCTTAGGCATGCATGGATGCATACGTGCCCGGCGTGAGTTTAAGCCACCAGGTCTGGCACTCAAACTGCGGTTGACTACATGGGAGTCCAGTGACATAGCCATTACGCTAACTGCTGGTCTCAATTTATTATTTTTTAAATTATTTTTCAATTTGCTATAGGGCACAGGCACTTCAGAGAGGGAGTGTGTGCCACCAGGTCCAGAACTTGAACTGCAGTTGGCCGTGTAGGAGTCCAGCAACTTAGGGACCAGCAGGTGGCATAATGGTTATATTACTGGACTAGTAGTTGACTGCAGTTCGAGTCCTGGACCTGGCAGCTTATACTCATGCCAGGCATGTGTGTGTGTGTGCCTAAGTTCCTGAGAGGAGAATGAAGGAGAAGGGATTGCAGTGCGGTCACCCCTACCCACAGGGGGGGAGGGCGATTTCTCACTTTCCCTTTCTCTCTCTCTCTCTGTTTCTTCTCTCTGGTGAATGCACATGCTCTATGACAAAAAAAAAAAAAAAAAAAAAAATATGAATTTTTTTTTTTTTTTTGGGCGCTTGAACTTTTTTTTTTTTTTTTGGAGACGTTTTTGCTATAGGGCACGTGTGTTCACTAGACAGACAGAGAGATAGAAAGCCAGAAATCAACCCCCTTGTGGCCACGCCACAATCCCTTCTCCTCCATTATCCTCTCGGGATCTTAGGCACACACGCACATGTGCCCGGCATGAGTTTAAGCCACTGGGTCTGGGACTCGAACCGCGGTCGACTACATGGGAGTCCAGCGACATAGCCATTACGTTAACTGCTGGTCCCAAGAACTTTAATAAAGAAAACAACAACAAAAAAAAACATAGGTGCTTATCCTCAGGTATTAAACACCTTCCCCATGACTGTGGCTTGTGTCATTACAGCATTTGTAAGTATACATGAGGGTCTGGGTATCAGAGGTTGAAATCTCTGTAGCCTGTTGATGATTTATGCAGTCTCTCTTGGCGTCCGTTTGTGGCCCTTTCTTTTTAGAAAATAGCTAAGATTCCTGGCCTGCAGGTTAGAGCAGTGATGGCGCATGGTGTTTGGTTGTCTGATTGACGGTCTGCTGAGTTCATACTACCAGGCTAAACCTAGCACCATTCGGCAGCTGGTTCAGGGTTTTTTCTGTATGTGACCTGGTAAAAATAGGAGCCTGTGAAGTCACTCTAGTTTTCAAAATGTTGAGTTTAAAGTAGGCCAGCTACTCTCCTTATACCTAGAGGAGTGTTGATCTCATTTTGTCTTTATTTTTAGAGTCATTTATTCAAAACTTCAGTGTTCTCTACAGTCCCTTGAAAAGGCATCTCATTGGAAGTGACTCTGCCCAGTTCCCTTCTCAGCATTTAATCACTGAAGTAACAACTGATACTTTTTGGGAAGTAGTCCTTCAAAAACAGGTACGATGTTGACAGAGGCAGAAATCAAGCTGTCTCTCCCTATAGAAATCATTTCCAAAGCGGCAGTTGTTGGGTGAATGACTATTTGGATGAACTGAAGATAGACCACGTGACAGTGTGATGATGGGACAACACGAGCAGATTACATGGTTTCTAATTGCAGAATATCTTTAGGAAAGCATGTAATCTGGAAGATCTAAAGATGAAACTTTTTTCTGTAATTTCTGCGTAGGCGGCATTTATCGAATACCTGCCAGATCCTGAGCACAGAAGGAAATGAGATGGAGCCCATTGCTAGGTGCAAATAATGACCTCTTCCCTTCTTACAGGACGTCTTGCTGCTGTATTATGCACAATGGTGTGGCTTCTGTCCCGCCCTCAATCACGTCTTCATCCAGCTAGCTCGTCTCCTGCCCGTGGATACATTCACCGTGGCGAGGTAAGGAAGCCTACCCTGCAGCGGTGGGCTGTGGCTCGTTTTCACTCTCCCTTGCAGCTTTGCCATATGGTTCGCGAGGGTCTGCCCATTTCCCATTAACCTTGGCTAAGGCTTGGTTTGATTTATTAATAGTTGTCAGGATGAAGCCGTGGGCAAAGCTTCGCTGAAGCAGAACTTGCTGCCATGGGGCTGCATGTGCCGAGCCCTGATTAGGTTCACTGGCGGGTCAGTGCAGTGCTGCGGGAAGAGTGTGGCCCTGGTCCCTGGGATGGCTCCTAGGTGGCCTTCGGTAGGGTGCCTCAGGAGTTGCCACCTGCCCTGGGCCCTGCTGCAAACCTCTCCACCAGCCCTCTTCCTCCTCCTCTATGAAACAAAGAGGAAGGAGTGCTTGATATCTGTGTGTCCCAGTTTTGTGATTCCACGGGTGCTATAGCCCTTGAGTAAACAAAACTTGTGAATAGTTCAGTGTGTCTTTAGAGTGGTAGTGAGCAGTTTGGTGGGGGGAGGGCGATTGTTTCTATTTAAACTTATCTTCTCCCCCCACCACACACAGAGAACTCCAGATAGAGTTAAATATGAAAGACCTACTCATAGAAAAAATAACAGAAGACAGAAGTTGAATTTGCTATTTCCTTTGAGAGATGGAAACTTCCCAAAGTAGAAGCAGTTGAAAAAATAATGAAAGAAAGATGAACAGATTCCACTAGAAATATATGTAATGAAAAGAAGGAAACCAGACTGAAAAAGAGTCTATACATGTATTTTGCTGCATCTGTGTTTCACCTGTTGTATATACTATAAGTAATGACTAAACCAAACTTAGGAGTTAGCGTGCTGAAGATTATATGTGCGTATTATCTGACTTAGTCCTCAAAGCACTCCGTGAAGGCGTGTGGTTTTCACTCTCTATTGAAGAGGAAACGGAGGCACAGAAAGATGAGCGAACGTGCCCTGAGTAACACAGCCTGAGTGAGGGACCAGAGACAGGTGTTGTCCTCCGGGCCCAGTGAAGCTAAGTGGGTGAAGATGTAGGGGGGAAGCCATGTGTGCAGAGGACCCGAGCAGGCTTTTCATGTAAGAGGGAGAGGAAGTAAACAAGTGGGGGAGGGCGTGCCTCACCGAAGTGAGCTTAGACCCATGGCCTGCCGTTCACACTGAGGAGACTGACGGAACCTGGTGTTGAGAAGTGACATGGGCACAGTCAGATGTAGCAAACAGAACGACTACGTTGAAGAACCCTTTTGGAAGGCATTTTGGCAATATTTGCAAGATACCACAAAATGGTTATACATTTTTTTCACCCAGTTAATTTCACTGCAGGGAATTAAAGAAGTAGAAATTCCAGAGAAGCCTGGGCTAGTCATTTTAGTGTTATTTATATCCAACAGTAGAGGGTGGTTAAGTAAATTATGGTTGGGCATTTGATGGGATTTTGATCCACTTACTGAAACAATTTTTTTTTATACAATTAACTGAAAGGAAAGAATAGAGTATGAAATATATGCTGACTGCTCTTTAAAATCTGTAAGCAAATAGAACAAGCCTGAATGAGATTCCCAGAAGGTCTCAGTTAGCCAAATGGACTCTGGTGGTTTTTTTTTTTTTTTTTGGGGGGGTGGGATGCGGGGAGATGTAGAGAATGTGTGCCTAAGAGTGAGAACAGGAGGGAGAGACAGAGGTAGGTGTCTCTGTCAGGGTCTCACCATGTCACAGTCCTCCTGTCCCAACCTTAGTTACCTAGGACAGCCAGAACGCACTGGCATGTCTGACCACTCCCCACCATGCTGGACCTACCCAGCTGGGGCTGGACATTGAACCTAGGCCTCCCGTGGGCCCTCATCCACTGGGTAGTGGCACTCTCCTGCTTATGTCACCATCGCTGGGCCTCTGAGTAGATTTTTACAAGGTTTTCCTTTTATAATTCTCTATCTGAATTAAAAATCAGGAGGGGAAAAAAGTTTGCTTATAGAATATAGTGTTCAACATTACTTTTTTTTTTTTAAGAGGTTTTTGCCTTAGGGTGAGTATGTTCACCAGAGAGAGAGAGAGAGAGAGAGAGAGGGAGAGAGACAGACAGTAAGATGGAAAGTGAGAAGTTCCCCCTTGGGGAGTGACCACACTGCAATCCCTTCTCCTTCATTCTCCTCTTGGGATCTTGGGCATGCATGCGCATGCGTGCACACACACACATGCACACACACACCCTTAGTGTGATTTTCAAGTCACCAGGTCCAGGACTCAAACTGCAGTTGGCCGTGTGGGAGTCCAGTGATGCAACTGCTACGCCATCTGCTGACCCCTCAATACCACTTTTTTTTTTAATATCTTTTTTTTTAATGATATTCTTTTTTTTAATCTTTTAATTTATTCATTCATTTATTTTAATTTGACCAGAGCGAGACAGAGAGAGAGAGAGAGAGGAAGTGAGAAAGCAAGCCACCAGGTCCGAGACTTGAACCGTGGTCGGCCATGTGGGAGTGTTCAGCACCTTAACCACCACACCACCTACTGGTCTCCAACACCACTTTTTTAAAACCTGGAACATTAATGTTTTAGGTAACAATCACAGCAGAGATAAGAGTACTATTTTACTAATAAAGCTGTGGTAAAATAATTTTAATTTGTCTACTTTTAATTTTTTTTTTTTTGAGAGATTTTCACTGTAGGGCGCGTGCGCTCGCCAGACAGAGAGAGACATAGAGACAGAAAGCGAGAAATCACCCCCCAGGGGGAATGGTCACGCTGCAGTCCCTTCTCCTCCATTCTCCTCTCGGGATCTTGGGCACGCACGCACACGCGCCCGGCGTGAGTTTTAAGCCACCGGGTCCGGGACACGAACCGCGGTCGACTACGTGGGAGTCCAGCGACATAGCCATTATGCTAACTGCCGGTTTCCTCTACTTTTAATTTTTTTTAAATACCAAAAGGTGAAAGTACTCAGTAGAGAGAGAGAGAACAAGAGCGAACACCCTCCAATGGGACTTGCTCATTCCTCCATTGTTTTTCCTCCAATTCACCATCCCATTGGGATCCTACAGATTTTTCAAGTCTGTAGGCCCAGGATTTGAACGCTGGTTGGCCTTGTGGGATCCAGCTATGGAAATAGTCCTTTTTTTTTTTTATTTTTTTATTTAACTTTATCTGTCTGTCTATTTGTTTATTTAAATTTGACCAGAGAGGGACATACTGGGAGAGAAAGAAAGAGAGAAAATGAGAAAGCAAGCCACCAGGTCCAGGACTCGAACTGTGGTTCTCCTTGTGGGAGTCCAGTACCCTTAACCACCATGCCACCTGCTAGTCCCAATAGTCCATTTTTTTAAAAGTTACTTTAGGACCAGAAAATGGTATAATGATTACATTGTTGGATTTCCACATGGTCGACTGTAGTTCAAGTCCCAGACTTGGTGGCTTAAAATTTATGCTGGGCATGTGTGCACGTGTGTCTAAGATCCCAAGAAGAGAGTTGAAGAGAAGGGATTGTGGTGTGGCCATTCCCCCAAGGGGGGATTTCTCAATTTCTGTCTCTTTGTCTCTCTGGCAAGTGCACACATTCTACAGCAAATCTCTCTCTTCAAAAAATAACCAAAATAGTTACTTTCATTCTTTAGGACAAGTACATGGCACTGTCCACCTGCCGCCTCCTGTCAGTTTTGTTTTCAGAAAACTTCCATCAAGGGAGTGATTTAAAAGTTTTCCATCTCCTCTGTGCACCACTTGTGACCAAGCAGCCCTTTCTCCAGGGTGGGTGCAGCTTCCTCCCTCAAGGATCCTGTGTTGCTGCTGTGGTGTCAGACCTATCCATTCGGCCCTCGAGCCTCCTGCACATCCTGCTGAGGCCACTGCTGGCACCAGCCACAGAGAGCAGGTGCAGTCAGTTCCCTGGTAGCTGAGCACAGGTGGGCTGGTTTAGTACAGATGTTGTTTCCTATGTCAGAAGATTGACCTAAAATCTGCTAAGACATAGTGTTTTTTGGCTTCCATACAGATTTACAACATATGAAAGAGGGCAAAATCTTCCATCTCAGAGAAGCTTGATGTATTTTGCTAAATGATTTTCTTTTTCTAGAACTAATACAAGGATTAAAATATGAGCAGGGGACTTTCAAAAAACTCATGGGAAATGTGTTATGAAAAAAATGTGCATGGATTTAAAATATTTTGCACCAAAATAAAGTTGTACTTTAATTCCATTTTTCCCTGCACTTCTTGAAGTCCCTCTGTCTTTGGCCCTGTCAGGTGAGTAAACTACTCCTTTGGTGTCAGTGAGGCATTTTCTGGAAGCTGCTTTTTACTTTCAGGACTTCATATCCCCACGCAGTGGAGCGTGTCCACATGTTAGAGAGGGGATGGGCGGGAAGTACCCACGCTGAAGTGCACGCCCCAAGGAGCGGCCAGTCCAGCCAGGCGGGGCAGCGTGCCAGGCTCTTCATTACTGGCAAAGGTTCTAGTTGGAGTTTCTTGGACCAGTCTTTCACCTTTTTCTGTTCTTTCCCTTTGCCAGGATTGATGTGTCTCAGAATGATCTCCCTTGGGAATTTATGGTTGACCGTCTTCCTACAGTCTTGTTTTTTCCCTGCAACAGGTAATGCTGAATATTTTTCAGTACTGGGCAGACGGGATTCTTTGGTTGAGATCTGAAAATGAAGTGTGTTTCAGATGTAAATCATTTCTTATGATGAAACTTTTCCACAGTCGTGCCATTAGGACGTAGGACACGAGAGCCATGGTGTCAGTGTCATGCGTGGCACTGACGTTTTAAAAGGAATTTACTCTTCCCAGAGTGTTTCTTACATGAGCATGAATGTGGCCACCAAGATCCGTTTGCTTCCATAGCCTCCATGAACATGCAGAGGATGCTCAGACGGACAGGAAAAAGAGCCCCATGTTTGTGAGGAAGGCAGCCCCTGACCTGCTGAGTCCTGCCTGCCCCAAGCTTCCCGGGGCACCATCTCTCAGCTGCCCTCCCAGCACCCCTGCCTCCATACAGGAGGAAATGAGGTTTTCTTATCCACTGGATTCCAGCAGCCCTGCGGGAGAGCTTTCTCCCCAGGGTGCAGATGGGGAGCATCTGCCGTGGGTGGTCACCTTGATCTCTGCCCATTTGCCTCAATGCTATTTGAGGTTTAGGTCTTACGGCAACTATCCTGAAAGCCCCAGCAAGCAGAATGGGACGTTAGCAAAGGGGCAGCAGATGTGGCAGTTAGTGAATGGGGGTGCAATGGAAATTAATTCTCAGTCCTTGAGAGCCTAATAAAATTTGCTCCCCTTTTTCCAGATTCCCTCTGGATTTTCGGGGGGTAGGTCCTCGTGGGACCCAGTCATGTGGTATTGATGGTATCTTCTCTATAAGGGAAAACATTTGCAGGGCCATTTAGGGTGGTTCCTGGCTCACTGAATGTGACATTTGCATTTTTAATTTCCTGCCTCCTTTGTACTATTCTGTGCAGCTTGCTCTGCTTGTCACGTTCCTCTGGGAGAGTGCTTCCTTTGCTTCTACTGAATCATTTCCTTGGCTTTTGCCCTTTATCTCTAAGACTTTTGCTGGAGTGCTTCTCGTGGTGGGTAGGGTCTTATCAAATCCCACACTAGAAACAGAATGTGACTCGCCCTGTCCGGCCACTGGCTTGTAATGAGCCCTGTTTTTTCTAAGAAGCGTTCCAATTGCTACACTCAAGGAATCATGGAGTGACCCTAGAAATGTCATCTGTGTGGGACAGAAGTTGGGCATGTATTTTAATGATATGCAGTCTTGAAATTCCAAACATCGTTTGAAGAAGTAGTGAAGTCATAGCACCCAGCGCATGCCTTTTCATGAAGAGGTTCTCGGCGACCAGAATAACCGAGTATGTAGGGTGAGATACTGACATGCTTGGAGGGGCAGTGGGTGGCAGGGTCGTGAGGCCTATGTCCCGAGTTAGGTGACTTTCTTCCTGAAGCTGCCTGGTGTCACAGATGTGAAGGGAGCTGTACCCAGGCTTGTGCCAGGCAGTCGCCACAGCCCTTTACTGTTTTCCTGGAATTGAAAAGGTCAGGAATGTAAATACTGAATATGAGAGGACTGTCCAGTTCTGTTTTAACGGAAATTGCATGGTAAACCAAAGCTTTATTGCTTTGGGATGGAATTTTCCTCATTTCCTAAAAATAAATGGCAGTCAGAAGTAAAGTAAGCTCGTCGCTCGCTGGTCCAGAGGGCATGTTTGCTTTACCCAGAAGGTAAGCGGGCAGACGGTGTGAGCTGACAGCTTGCAAAAGAGGACAGGAGAAAGGCTGCTTGATAACATGTAATGAGACCTTTTCCACGGCTCTCCTGCTTACCCTATTTTTAGTGAAAAGAATATAAAGTCATATTTGCACAATGGCGAAATATAAGCTAGTGTGCGTATAAGGTGAGGATGAGCCCTAAGGTGTTGGCATTGGTCACTTGAGAGGAATGAGGACTACAGGTGATTTGGAAACACTTCTGGCACGTTTTTATGCCCCTTGCAAATTATCCACAGTGAACACATCCTATTTTCTAACATGGAGAGAAATCACTTTCATATGAAAGAGCCTGTCCCCTGCCATGGGGTGCAGCCCAGCCTCGTTCTGCTCCCGGTCCTGCTTTCCCTGCAGGTGGGAAGTAGGGGCCAGGCCATGAAGGAGGCAGTGACCCTCCTGTGGAGAGGACATCTCAAAGCCACGTCTCCTAGCCAGCAGCCTGTACTAGATTCCATGTGACATGCAAAATACAGGTGCTCTGGCCCTTCTCTTGGAGGTTCTTGGGGGTGTGGTACACATGTTCCATCAGAAGATGCTCATGTGTCCTTGGAGAACTTCACTTCTTCAGAGCACCCCCCCCTCAGGATTAGAGGAGAGTCAGATAAACAGCAGGACCTTTACTGCCACACTGAAAGTGAGCAGTTCGTTGACACTCTGTGTCCTTACTACCTTTTTAATGTGCAAAAGCATTTTAGCACACTGTTTAGGAAGCTTCGTGGAGATTGTTCTAAGACCTCTCAGGTAGGTGCTTATAGATGTCATTACCTGTCCTGTACATGTCTCCAGGAACACTTGCCAAGGCATCTCGGCACTTTCCTGGGGGTAGTTCACCTGCACTCTGCCCGAGACCAGTTCTGAGCTGTAAAAGGAGGCAGGTCCAGACCCTGCTTATCCTTCCACATCCCTTTTTCCAGGGCTGCGGTGTGGGTAGTTGTCATGTGGATGGCCAGGATGCCACACTTGAAGAAAGCTGGTGTCTTAAGAAAACAGTAATTTAAAAACAGAGATGGTTAAATACTTCCCCTCAATTTTTTAAAAAAAATTAATTTTATCATTATTATTCTTCTTTAGTTTGCTATAGGACATATACACTTATCAGAGAGAAACAGAGACACACATACACACACACACACAGAGACAGAGAGACAGAGAGAGAAAGGGAAAATGAGAAAGCAAGCCACCAGATCCAGGACCTGAACCATAGTTGGCCACATGAGAATCCAGTATCTTAACCACCACACCACCTGCCGGCTCTTCCCCCTAAAATTTAGAAATTCATGTGCGTGCACGAGAGTGAAAGTAGGGCACCCTCCACAGGGTTTGGCCATGCTATGATCCCTGCCTCCAGTCTGCCAGGATCCTGCATGCACATGCCCAGTGTTTTCAGGCCTACTAGGCCAGGGATTTGAACTGCCCTGGGCATGTGGTCTCCAGCTCCAGGTGGGCCTCCCCAGTTACTTAATGGAGCAGTTCACAGCCCTGCCCCAGGATGCCCTCCCTGACATGGCCACAGGGTCTCAGAGCACCAGAGGCTCCCCTGCCCACACGCTCCCATGCTGTGTGTCAGTAGCTCTCGGCTTGAGCTGGAGGCTCTCGTCTTATGGAGGTTGTGTATGTTAGGTTGTCCAGAAAGTCATGGTGCGTTTTTGCATAGGAAGATACGTGGTGACTTTTTCAACAACCGTTAATAGAAGTGAGCTCTGTCCTCAGAGACAGACACGTTTACTGTATGCCACCCTAATTCCAGAACGGGCGTGTGGGCATCCTCAGCTTTGTGAATTTCTTGGTCGGGCAACATATTCCTTCGTTTCAGAAGGTAAAATTTCGGCACGGCAGTAGCCTGATCCTGCCAGCGGTCTCTCGCGGAGTTATTGGCATGGTGCTCATCGCCGGTTCCTTTTCCTTCCTCCCCAGAAAGGACCTAAGTGTGAAGTACCCCGACGACCTCCCCATCACCCTTCCAAACCTGCTGCGGTTCATCTTGCGCCACTCGGACCCTGTTTCTGCCCCTCACAACCCGGCTAACCCTCCTACCAAAGAATGTCTTCAGAGCGAGGCCGTCTTACAGCAGGGGCACATTTCCCGCTTGGAGAGAGAGATCCGAAAGCTGAGAGCGGCCCTCGGCAGCCTCCAGCGAGCGCAGGTGCAGGTGGAGGCGCAGCTCTCCAGCGCCCGCCGCGGTGAGCACCGGCTGACGCGGCGGCTCCCCCGGCGGAGAGGAGCACCGGCTGCGGCGGCGACAGCAGAGCCTGGAGCAGCAGCGCGGCCTGCTACGGCGGCACAGTGAGCAGCTGCAGGCCTTGTACCAGCAGAAGACGCAGGAGCTAGAGGAGCTGGCCCGCCGGCTCCAGGAGCTGGCTGCCGCCTCTGAGAGCCTCCTCACTGAAAACACCTGGCTCAAGATTCTGCTGGCCACCATGGAGCGGAAACTGGGGGCCAGGGACGGGGCCGACCCCTGGGCTCCACCGCAAGAGGCCCATCCTGACCATGCCGGGCCCCCGGGTGCCCCCCGCCTCCCCAGCAGCGGCCCTCCACCTTCCAGCATCAGTTCCTCACTGGCTGCTGAGAGGAACCATGAGAACAGGACAGAATGACTGCTAAATGGCAAGAAAGAAATCAGAGGTGGAAACTGTACATTGGAATATATTTATGCAAATTTTATTGAAATTGTAAATAAAGATTTTCTCAGTGGTCTAGAAAATCAACGTGAACGTCATTCAGCATTTATTGAACAGGGATGACATCCCTTCCACTTATTGCACAAACTTGGTCGCTTTGAGACAAACAGTAGCACAGTCCAGTTGAAGATCTGTCTGAAAAATTAGTCCTTATTTTGGTGGCTCAGTGTCCAGAGTCCCCTCCCACCCCCTCCTGTTGCTTCTTCAATGACATGAAGGATAAACGGCTAACTTCCTGACCAGTCAGAAAATGGGACAACAGTTGGGCTACTCAGAGGACTCAGAGAGGTCCTAACTCCCTGGGCCGTCCCCTGGCTCTGGTGTCTGTGCTAGGACAAGAGCCACTGTCATAGCAGGCGTGGGCTGGCACGTGGCCGTGCACTGTTTCTGCAGGCATTTCATCTCCCCGAGACCCACCGTGCCTCTCACCCTCACCCAGGACTGCCCCCGCGCTTGAATGGGCACGGTTCCAGCTCCGCGGTGTCCCTGGTAACGGGGAGTAAGATAAGAAAGCCTCTAAAAGCAAAACTGATGAGAAAGCAACATTTATCATTCCAAAACTAAAGCTTCACTGGTAAAACCACAGGGCAGGTCTGACAGTTGAGCCATGGTCAGTTCTAGGGGTCAGGGTCAGATTGGAGATGCAAATCCCAGCCGCTCCTGGATCCCCAGGCGTGACGCTGAAGCAGGCGCCCAGGTCATGCTGCCAGCTGTGGTGAGGTAGAAAGCCTGGAAGGTCCAAATGCAAGAGGGTGGGCCACAGCCCTGCCATTTCTAACTCACCAGTCTCCCAATCGGCACCTTGGGAACTCCTGTTCCCCTCCTAGGCCTGGCTTCAGAGGTTGGGCTGCCCCCCCCCCCCCCCCCCCCCCCCCGGTTGCCCACCAGCCGGCAAGGCCTCCGAGACTCTGGCCTCTTCCTGTTGCTTTTCTGCCTTGCAAGGCCTCCGAGACTCTGGCCTCTTCCTGTTGCTTTTCTGCCTTCTAAGGGCTCCCTAGTGGTTGACCTGTGGCATTTCATCGGCACCTCAGCTCAAGTGGCCTAACCAGCTATCCCACTTTACACATACGCTGATAAAAAGAAGCGTTCTGCTCTTGCCGTGGGGTTCTAGAAGGTGGATTAGTTAACATGCTTGTGGAGACTTGGGTGAGCCCTAACTCTTAGCTCCCTGCCCATACTGCTCAGAGCCAGTGCTCTGTGGTTAAGCCAGGGCTGGCTAAGCAGAGCCTAGCTGAGCTGGGATGGTCTCTGGATTATTACCAAGGAGGCCCACACTAGGGCTGTTTCCATCTTGAGGGTTCAGGACGCGTCCACAGCGGTGGGGCTAGAACTGAAGCGAGCTCACTAAGTGCCCACAGGGGTGCCCTAGAGAGCCAGGCTGCGAGGCGCTGGCTCCCTGACAGCTCTCTGCTGAGAACCAAGTCCTGAACCGGAACGTCATCTCCCAGCACCGCTCCCTGCGTGAAGCCAGGCTGGCAGGAGCGGTCTGCTGGCTCCTGTGTGAATGTCAATATGCACAGAGAAAATGACCTTCCCTGGGGCAGGGGACACAGCCTATGGAGACCCACTGAGTGAAGTAAAATCTAGTACCCAGCAGGTGGGCAACATCACGGGAAAGGAAGCGAAGTTGTGAAAAGGGAAGGGGGGACCCTCAGCAGTCCCTTGCCCTCCCCTCCAGTGCAGAAAATACTAAATACAAAAACAAGTCTCACAACTCTTTCTCTGTCCTGGGCCAACTAAGTATCAGACTAAAAGTGGCCAAACGGGCTCTGGTGGGTCAGTGAGGACCAGAGCCACCACAGGAAGTTTGTGTGGAGGAGGAGCGTTCAGCATGCTCAAGGCCGAGGGGAAAGGAACTGCTCTGCTCCGAGGATGCCTGGCAGCCCTCGGGATGCGTGCCCCCACGCGTCCCTCACTGGCTCCCAAGCAGGTGCGGTAGCTTCCTTGCAGTAACTCCCTAGCTACAGGCACTGCTATTCAGCAGCCCCGTCCACCTGGAGGGAGGCGGAGGGGCTGTGGTTCTTCCATCCATTGCTAACCAAGCAGAAATCGCCAAAGCGCTCCGACTGCCGCTGAAAACACCACGGGACAGAAAGCTGACATCTCACTTCCTTTACGGACACAGACACAGACACACATTAGAGACCCCTGCCAAGTGCAACTCGGCCTTACAAGTCTAAGCTGCTCCGCGGTCTTGACTCAGCTCATCATTACAGTGGGAATCGAACCAGTCCCATGTGCTCTATATGGTATTTTAAAGAATTGGCGAAAAGGCTAAGCACGTGCTTCTGGGGGCCTATGTACAGTTCACAGGTTTGTTAGTTCACGCATTACAGTAGTAGCTCCATCAAAAACAGGCTCAGCTAAACATTCAAGTAACAAAAGCGCTACGGGGCCAGGAGCCCCAGCAAGGGCAGGCCTGCCCACTGCCTGCAATGGGCAGCCCCACCAGGAGGCCGAGGGGAAGCCCAGGATGGCTGGGACCCCAGGAGTCAGTGCATGCGATGACGAAGCCTGCCGAGGCCATGCCAAGCAGGTGTCAGCCCCTCCTCTCAGACAGCAGCATGTCTGTGTGGCTCTGCCCGCCCAGCTCCTCAGGTTGCTGCAAACAGGACCAGGAGCCTCTCATCCCGGGTCAGCCGTGGACTTCTGGGCCATTAGGGGTCATCAGCTTGGCCTTTCTCTCCACACACGGTCCCTTGGCTGAGTACTGCACCAGCAGGAAGGGCTCCTTGGTCTCGCCATCCCCCACGATGCTTTCCTCGTCCTCCGACTGGCTGATGCGCTGCAGCCGCAGGTAGCACCAGCAGCCCAGGATCAAGGCCCCCAGGGCAGCGATGGCGATGAGGATGACGATGACCGTGACCACGCCCGTGGTGGGGCTGTGGTCCATGATAGACATGGTCAGTGCTGGGAGGGGCTTCTTCACAGGGAACTCTCGGAGTGGCTGGCTCAACGAGGCTGGAAACCAGGCTGGACACGAGAATCCTGTAAAACAAAGCCAGGTGGTGCTGAAACTTGGACTCCACGGAGGACCCAGCCCTGCATGAGCTCAGGCTGGCCCTTCTGTGCCATCTATTTAAAAAAAAATTTTAAGAATTATTTAATTAACTAACTTACTTACTTACTTTATGTATTTATTTATTTAAATTTGACAAGAAAGGGACAGAGTAAGAGAGAGGGGAGGGGGGGTGAGAAAGCAAGTAGCCAGGTCCAGGACTCAAACCGCATGTGAGAGTCCATGTGGGAGTCCAGTGCCTTTAACTACCACATCACCTGCCGGCCCCTTCTTTTAAGTTCTTAAACCTGATGGTTGCACCCCTCCCCCCAACCCACTGAAAATTGGTTTGTCTTTGTTGTTTCTCTTTGTTCACCAAATCCCACCCCAGCTTGCTTCCCTGGGCTGCCTTCCAGCCTCAGTGCCCTGTACCAGGCGTCAGTCGCCTCTCCCAGCCATGAGCCCAAAACATGGGGGGAGAGGTAGGGACCAGCTCCAGTGACAGCCACCTGAGGCTGCACAAGGGCCAGGTGCATGCGGAAGCTCAGCACCACTGCAAGTCTGGGAACCACCCAGGGACTGAAGACACCAGTGGCATCAAGACACTAGAGATGCAGGACTTGGGAGCAGGGCAATGACATCAGCCTGCCATGAACAAGGACACACGGAACCACCAGGTCCTCCCAGGACACCCGTGAGATGGTGTGGCAGACAACAGCCTTTACCACAGGGACCTGCAGTCGGCCTGGGAAGACCCTGGTACACAATGTGATGCTGAGCAAGAAGCTGGGGCGGGGCCAACCAAGCAAAAGGGACCAGAGATGTGCAAGCAGGGGCACACGGGAGAGCTGCGGGAGGCAGGGGAGAGTGGAGAGGGCAGATTGCCAACGGGTCAGAATGCCAGAGACCTGTCACTACAAGTGGGGGACGCCCAACGGGAACACGACCAGGTGCTGCGATGCTAAATTGGGTGGGGAAGCCTTCCAGGCAGGTTTCTGCTAAGGCGCTGAGGCAGAAGCTGGAACACACCAGCTGGGGCAAGCCACAGAGGCTGGGGTGGGGGCAGCACTGAGGCAAGCACATGCCTGGAAGAACGCAGGGAATGATGCTGGGATGGCCACCCCCTGGTGCCCCGAGCCTTCCTGACTCGCCACATGTGGAGCAGATGACAGCCCCTCACGCCCAGGCAGCCAGGCCCATGGTGGTACTCGATGAGAACTATCGAGAGGTATCGGGAGTCTTTTCTTGAGAAGACTGACAGCCATGAGGGCTGTCATATGAAGGAGCATATGAAGGAGGTTTTCCCAGCCAACAGGACGGAACCTGTGCGTCCTTGAGCAATAACAGCCTTAATTAGAAGTGATTCCTACCCGTCTCCCCAGAGGCCAGGGTGGCCTGAAGGTCAGAGGCAGCTAAGCCAACGCCCCCAGAATCTGTCCAGAGACAAGGCCCCGTAAACCGCAGGCCCAGAGCACAGCTCTGCACCCACATCTGCACAGGAACCTAGGCAGGGGGCATTGTCCCACAAATCCTTTGTCTTCTCACCACCTCCAGGTCCAAGTTGTGGCCACCCCTCCCCCTACCTGTCCAGGCAGGCCCACTGCGGCAGGGCCACTTCCAGTTGGAAGAATGCCCATGTCTTCATGGCAACCCCCAGGGCCGGACACTGCACGCCTAGCCTGCCTCTGCCCACTGCTCCCCAGTTGTGGGACCTGCATTTGCCCTCCTACTGCCAGGCCCCCAGCGGGGTCCCTGCCGGATTGGTCCACTCCTCTCACCCTGCTGGTGGTTCTCAACTGGGATGACCGTGCTCCCTCCTGGGACACCAGACCACGTCTGGAGCCGCTGTGGGTGGACACGGCATGGCCCGAGTGGCCTCTGGTGGGTTGGGCAGGAAGGCTGCTCCGCACCCCGCAATGCTCAGAGCGCTCCCTAGCCCAGACCCACCCACCCAGCCTCACCCACGCCAGCTCCAACAGAGAAGCTCTGTCCCCTAGGGCACTGCCTCAGTTTACCTCCCTGGCTTCTGGAGCCCAGTCACAGGTCAGCCTCCACGTCCCTAGCAGGCTGCAAGCTGCACGGTGGCCCTGACCACTCGCAACCCTAAGGGCGCACACAGGCCATCCTGGTCTCTCTCCTGCTACTGTATCAGTTCCCATCGCCTGTTCAGCCAAGGCCGCCACTCTGGATGGTGGTCCCCAGCCCTGGGACAACGTCCTGGCTGTCCCTGGAGCCTCAGAATCCTGGCCGAATCTGCTTCCACCAGTCACAACCTCCAAGTCCTCTTCCTACCGGGAGACCATGTACCCTCACACACCCTGCACTGCCACCTCGCTCTGGCCTGCAGCGCCTGCTGGGGCCCTGTCCCCACCCCTCCTCCCCGTCCCGGGTTCTGGACAGGAAGGCAAGTCAGTATCAATTCGGAAGAGGAAGTGTGTGTTTGGGGGTGGGGGAAGTTAGTGGGAAATCAAACAATGGCACTATGACCTGGGGGGGCCGAGAGGCCAGGGCCAGCTGGGGAGCCCAGAAGGAAGACAAGGGTCCAGGGGAGCCCTGAGGTCCCAAAACCAATGAAGAAACTGAGGCAATGGCAGCCCCAACTCAAAGGGACCTCCTGAGAGGAGTGGTACCCTCGAAGCTGTCTGTGCCACCTCAGGTCCGGAGGAGTGGGAAGAGCCAGGGAGGGCCCTGACCTCAGTGAGCACAGAGCCTGGAGACCACGCCAGTCACAGCGGCCGTGACCCCGGCCCTCCGCCGAGCATGCCCAGGCACCCCGAGAGCTGATCCTTGAGAAACTCTGATCACGTCGATCCTGCTCAGGCCGTCCCTGGCATCAGAAGGGAGTCCAAATCCCCAGCCCTCTGGGGCCTCTGCACGCCCTCGCACCACCTCAGGCGTCTGCACGCCATTCCCTCAGCCTCGAATGTTCTTCCCTCACTCATCGTCCTGGGCCTGGCTCCTTCCCTGGCTTTCTCAGAAGGTGCCTCTTGGGCACCCTCCCAGCCCACTCTGGCTCCAGATGCCCTCTCCCAGCCCACCCCCGCCTTGCCAGCTTCTATTCCCCAGCGCGCTTTGCCACCTGGTGCTGCCTGGGCTCAGGGGATCTGTTTCCCTGGCTGCTGTCGCACCCCTGCGTGGCCTCCACGTCTATAAAAGGATGGTGTCTGTCTCATCCATGGCTGCCCCCCTGCTCCAAGCACACAGTAGGTGCCTAATGTTCGCTGAGTGTCCCGACCCCAGCCCAGGGTACAGTGCTGAGAGGAGGCCCTGCTCTTGCAGTGGTCACAGTCGAGGGTCCCAGTCTCAAGCCAGCTCTCTGGTCCCTAGGATACTCCCTAACAAGGCCTATGGCACAGGGGAGACAAGGAGGGGCTGGAAAAAATCACCACAGGTCCCCATGCCTGCCCCAGCCGCAAGGAAGCCGGCAGCCTGCGTGGGAGGACAGGTGCGGACGAGCACAGACAGGAACAGCGCGGGCCCTGGGTGCCAGGCAGGCCCCAGCCATGCAGGGGCTGGGGGAGGGTGGCTGAGCCCAGAGGCACCCAAGGTGCAGGGACAGCAGGGCCTGTAAACTCCCTTGCCTTGCCGGACTCCACCCAAATGAAGGTGTCTCCTGTCAGCCAGTTAACCCCTTGACCGGTTCCAGCAAAGCCCATAGGACAGGGCGGGACAGGGAGGGGCCTGGGACAGCTTGTGGGAAGCCTGACCAGCTCCAAACCACCACCACACAGTCCACGCTGAAGTCGTGTAGCTTTTGTTGTTCGTTTTATGCCATAGGGATCACGTGCTCACCGCAGAGACAGACAGAAAGAAGGAAAGTGAGAAATCACCCCCCAGGGGGGATGGCCACGCTGCAATCCTTTCTCCCAGTCTCCCTGAGATTTTGGGCACACACAAACATGCACCTGATGTGATTCTCAAGCCGCTGGGCCTAGGACTTGAACCACAGCTAGCCATGCTGGAGTCCATGCCTCAACCACCACACCACCTCTGGCCCCCATGTAGCACTTAATCCCCAACAGCCCGGCGGCTAAAAGCTCACCATCACATCACCATTCTGCAGATGAGGACATGGTAGGCATGGGAGTGCAGGGGATCACAGTGGGCAGGATGTGCACCCGGAGTGGGGCCCAGCGGAGATGTCTCAGGTGCAGAGGGTCAGCCCAGGGCAGATCCCGCTGCAGCCACTGTCCCTGGGCACTCTGGGGCATCTCTACAGCAGCTCCTTGGCTGGCTCCTTCAATCAGGATGAGGCCCGGCATTCAAAACCCAAGGCCATCTGAGTCCCTCAATACACAGGGTCACTCCCCCCACCCTCCTGCTCCAGGCACCCTTGGTCCTGTCTCCCCAGCCAAGGGTGGCCAGAACCCTCAGATCCCACCCGCAGCTCCTGGGAAAACAAGCTTTAACAAGCCCGGGCCCTCCAGCCTGCACCCTCTCCCCCAAATGCCCCAAATTCCCGGAAGGAGGTCAGCAGGAGCACCGGACGTACTGTGTCCCCTGGAAAAGCAATACGCCAGCCTGAGCCACTCCGGAGGGCCCTGGCCTGCCCCAGCCCTGTCTCTCTTCTCTCCCCACCAGGCTGCTGTCTCACAGACTACTGTGCCCTGCAGAGATCAGTGAGTGGCCTCCTGGCACACGGGGCAGATCGAGGTTTGAATGCCAACCCGTCGGAGCCAGCTCTGCCCGGCAGTGGGCTGAAAAGGACAGTCCCTGCCTCAGCCACCAGCACACTCTCCTTTCTCACTGGCCCAAAGCTTCTCCTCTGGGTCTTCCCACTTGAGGAGTGGTCCCTGGCCACCCCAGCTTTATCATGGGATCCCTTACCCACACTCTACTGGCTCAAGGTCTGGGGCCCAGCCAGCAGCAGAGCAGTCTCTCCCTCCTCACCCCTGCACTCACTATTCTGACCCAGCCCGGCAAGCTGCTCCTAATGGCCTCAGTTTCTCAATATGCAAGGTGGCCCTGACCTCACCCTTGGGCTTCAGGGCAGGGTAGAAGTGACAGAAATTGACAACGGAAAGTTTGCCAGATTAGATTTGCAAGTCACCGCCCACACCTC